TATTAAATGATTATAGCCTTCGTCAATCCAAATTAAATTTCGAGCTTCCCGTAAATCGAACAGATTATTATAATTCAAGTTTTGCTTTCACTGGAGCAAAGCTATGGAATTCTTTACCAGACGAACTTAAACATGAACCTTCATTAAAAAGGTTCATAAAAAGATTAGAACATCTGCTATCTGCACCAACATAGTCAGTTATTATTCTATGAATAATTGTAAATAGTCTCTTTTCTTTCAAAAATTCCAAAAAAAAAATGTAAAAATGTACGTATATCGTAAATTATACACGGCTTTTAGGAAGAACAAATTGTAAATAATTATTATTTATTCCATTTGATAAAACCACCGTGTTTAAATAAAGATTTCAATTTCTATCTATCTATCTATCTATCTATCTATCTATCTATCTATCTATCTATCTATCTATCTATCTATCTATCTATCTATCTATCTATCTATCTATTTATGCATAATCGGAAGACGTACAAAAAACCGCATATAAGACTTTTAAACAGTTTTTTTTATTATTCAAATAGTTTTTGAGTTATTGCTGTTTTAAATGTGAAAATTGGACCAAAATGTCGCAATAAGGACTGCATGCATGGGTACTTGGAAAAAACGCGTTTTTGACAGCGTATAACTCGAAAACAATTTGAGATATAAAAAACCTGTTTAAATGTCTTATATGTAGGTTTTTGTAAGCTTTCTGATTATGTAAGTTGTAATTGAATACAACATTTCACATTTTCTTGCTGTAATACAATTTATAATTAATAGAGGATAATCAATGATCACCAATTTTCTCGGTATTGGGCACGTTTTTTGCTTGCATGGGAACTTTTGTTTGGTAATTGAGCATCTATATGGTACAATGCATTGAACCACAGAAAATCTATTCTCCAGCGGGTTGCCACGAATTTGCTTTTCAAGGAACTTTTTCGTACAACAGTTCCCGAACGAAGTAGGAATATTTGTTCTAACATTTCTGCTAATTGTACTTTACTACTTGCATTTCAGATAAAAATATTCCAGGTCCCGAAGCTCATCAGCCTAAGAGCGCTCTGGAACTTTCCGCATCAGTATACTCTGTCATGTATGTAGAATGCCATGCAATTATTGAGCGAAATTGACTAAACCTTGATTTTTGACAGCCCCAACCAGAAAATTTCCGGAAATTGATCAAGGCGATGAAGTTATAGTTGCCTAGTTCAGCCGTTTCGTGCTCGACAAATAATATTAGTGGAATTACATTCAACAAGGTGTCAAGGTTGGGCGGTTACAGAATAGTTAGAAAACTGCTGATACATCATCTTGAACTAAATGATTCTTCATTTTTTGTCAATATCTTTTAAAAAAGTGATTTTCACTGGTGGGGGCAAAATAGGTAACTGGGGGACTAACATGGGGACTAGGGGGCTCGGGCCCCCTTTCTATATGTTAAAAAAGCCTGAAACAGAGCCAGCCCCGGTCAATGTATAATATAAACAGTATATGTAAAAGTTGAAAATGCAAAAGTTGAAAATGAAAAAGTTGAAAATGTAAAAGTTGAAAATGTAAAAGTTGAAAATGCAAAAGTTGAAAATATAAAAGTTGAAAATGCAAAAGTTGAAAATGCAAAAGTTGAAAATGTAAAAGTTGAAAATGCAAAAGTTGAAAATGCAAAAGTTGAAAATGCAAAAGTTGATAATGCAAAAGTTGAAAATGCAAAAGTTGAAAATGCAAAAGTTGAAAATGCAAAAGTTGAAAATGCAAAAGTTGAAAATGCAAAAGTTGAAAATGCAAAAGTTGAAAATGCAAAAGTTGAAAATATAAAAGTTGAAAATGCAAAAGTTGAAAATGCAAAAGTTGAAAATATAAAAGTTGTAAGTGCCGCAACCATGGGGGCAGCTGCCTGGGCAGAAGTGGAGGGGGGAGGGGCAGCATGTTGCATTTTTTACAAGAACTACAATCGTAAATTCGTGCGTTATTCAAATGATAGAGATCGAGAACTGTTTTCGCTAAGCCCGAGTTAGCTCAAATTTAAATCCGAAACTGAAAAATTGTCAAAACAAAAGCCAACTTAAATAATGAACAAGTTCTCATGTTGTTTTACGATGTGTTTTACTCTTTACCGCCATGCTACGCATGCAAATCAGTATAACTGTTCCAATCAATTCCGAAATTGCTGTAACCATATTGCTACCAGTAATCAAGTATCCATTCCGCAAAATTTATAACAAACATTGCCGCGCACAGTAAGGCCCAGAAATAAGTGCCCTTTGTCAATGGCCGCATACGTTGCTAATCTACAACTGTTTTTATAATGGTATATTCCCATTCCTATTTTTGTGTCTGTCATTCCCACTCCCATTAACCCAAACATATGTAAATCTTATATTTTAGCCCATTCAGGGCCTCTAAGAAAGTCTTTTACTTTGTTGCATTTCGAGAGTACGTGCAGTGTCTACATAGCCTGCGCAAGTTTTCTCTAGCTTCCATAGGTGCTTCAATTGAATGATAATCAGGAAGAGAGCTAAATCCTACTGAGCATTCGTAGGGTTGCCAGGATGTCGAGAGAGAAGCGGGCACTTTTTAATTGATATGTATTCAGGAAGATTGCAAAACATCTGTAGGGTGTATAAGTATTTTATCGAATTGCAAATGTGTAACGTTCGCACTTCGATCCTCTTCAGTGCTCTCTCAAATTGTCCTTGCATGCATACAGTGGCTTTGACCGATATTAATTTCAATCTCTCTTTTTAAATCGGTTTGTGCTAGTTCTTTCAACATGCCTTTCTGTTGTATAGCTGGCAGTATAGTTTATCGTTGCTTTGCTCGATGTACTTTGCCATGTTCAATTTTTTTTTTAATTCTATTATTTCGTGATTGGAGACGCAGTTGTTAACTTTAATTGCCTGTACTTAGTCTTTGTTCACTGCACCCAAATACCACATCGTTTCTCCAAATTTCTCCAAACATGTAGTAACATTCGTTTTCTGTATCCTTTTGTTTGTCACTTTCTTTATTTCCAAGCCGCGAACGCAGAAAATTAATAATTTCCGTCCTCAATCGGACCTGACCGTGTAGCTCAGTGTGCTAGAGCGTCCATGCAGCTGGTATTTCGAAGGTCGCGGGTTAGGAAACCAGTTTCGGAAGAATGCGCGTTTTGGAAATTATGAAATAATTCACTCAAGAACACTTCATTTTTCAAGCATGTTCATACTGCATGTAAAACGATCAGGAAAATAAATAATTTTGATCAGTTTACCTTGACCTATGAAGGCGGGGAAGTGTCCTAGCGGTGTTGAAAAACAATACAAATATGAAAGTTTTGGATTGTGTAATATTCAATGCAAACAAACGTTCTACCTCTTGTTGTTTGAGTTTAAAATTTATTTTCTTCATAATCATGCACTAGGCAGACATTCGCCTGAAACTAACATTAGAATTGAATCATGTAGATATATGTCTGGGTGCATGGGGCTATATACTTTTAATCAATTTACGGTTCATTATTAATTAATATGAGCTTCATAATGGGCAGGGGTAGGTCCCATGACTCCATGAGATTAAGAATCTCCCTTCCCACCCTAAGGGTATAAATAATAAATGGTCCTTTATACCGATCTTGATATATTTTCATAATTAGTTCGTAATTCTTGAAAAGCTGCAGTAGAGAAGAAACTGGCTGTTTATACCTGCATTGTTAAAAATGCTTTGGTAAATAACGGAATTTGACCTGATTCAAATACACCATGCGTGCTATACTGAATAGTGAGGTTTAGTTTCGATTTCCTCTACCGTCACCTATTAAAGAAGAAGTACGCGCATGAGAATTTTAAAATGATATCCGACTGCTACCATTAAGGGACCATTAACCAATGAGATGCGTTTGATATATTCTGATACGAGTGAACTTCTCAATATTTCTAATATCTACAATCTTTCCCAGATTATATCACAGCCTAATAGAATCACTAACACTTCCAAATCACTCATCGATGTTTTGCAAACTATCCTGACAAAGTAACATCGTCTGGAACCAAATTTTGATTTAAAGGGCATGCATTCTTTGTACATATTCCTTTGATTGTCTATGGTAGGATGTAGCTCTCTTCCTGATTATCATTCAATTGAAGCACCTATGGAAGCTAGAGAAAACTTGCGCAGGCTATGTAGACACTGCACGTACTCTCGAAATACAACAAAGTAAAAGACTTTCTTAGAGGCCCTGAATGGGCTAAAATATAAGATTTGCATATGTTTGGGTTAATGGGAGTGGGAATGACAGACACAAAAATAGGAATGGGAATATACCATTATAAAAACAGTTGTAGATTAGCAACGTATGCGGCCATTGACAAAGGGCACTTATTTCTGGGCCTTACTGTGCGCGGCAATGTCTGTTTTTAATTTTGCATTTTCAACTTTTGCATTTTCAACTTTTACATTTTCAACTTTTGCATTTTCAACTTTTACATTTTCAACTTTTGCATTTTCAACTTTTGCATTTTCAACTTTTACATTTTCAACTTTTGCATTTTCAACTTTTACATTTTCAAATTGCATTTTCAACTTTTGCATTTTCAACTTTTGCATTTTCAACTTTTACATTTTCAACTCTTGCATTTTCAACTTTTGTATTTTCAACTTTTGTATTTTCAACTTTTGCATTTTCAACTTTTGCATTTTCAACTTTTGCATTTTCAACTTTTACATTTTCACATTGATCAGTGTTATATATTGTTTATGTTATACATTGACCGGGGCTGGCTCTGTTTCAGGCTTTTTTAACATATAGAAAGGGGGCCCGAGCCCCCATGTTAGTCCCCATGTTAGTCCCCCAGTTACCTATTTTGCCCCCACCAGTGAAAATCACTTTTTTAAAAGATATTGACAAAAAATGAAGAATCATTTAGTTCAAGATGATGTATTAGCAGTTTTCTAACTATTCTGTAACCGCCCAACCTTGACACCTTGTTGAATGTAATTCCACTAATATTATTTGTCGAGCACGAAACGGCTGAACTAGGCAACTATAACTTCATCGCCTTGATCAATTTCCTGAAATTTTCTGGTTGGGGCTGTCAAAAATCAAGATTTAGTTAATTTCGCTCATTAATTGCATGACATTCTACATACATGACAGAGTACATGCGGAAAGTTCCAGAGCGCTCTTAGGCTGATGAGCTTCGGGACCTGGAATATTTTTATCTGAAATGCAAGTAGTAAAGTACAATTAGCAGAAATGTTAGAACAAATATTCCTACTTCGTTCGGGAACTGTTGTACGAAAAAGTTCCTTGAAAAGCAAATTCGTGGCAACCCGCTGGAGAATAGATTTTCTGTGGTTCAATGCATTGTACCATATAGATGCTCAATTACCAAACAAGAGTTCCCAAGCAAAAAACGTGGTGCCCAATACCGAGAAAATGGGTGATCAGTGATTATCCCCTATTAAATTGTATTACAGCAAGAAAATGTGAAATGTTGTATTCAATTACAACTTACATAATCAGAAAGCTTACAAAAACCTACATATAAGACATTTAAACAGGTTTTTTATATCTCAAATTGTTTTCGAGTTATACGCTGTCAAAAACGCGTTTTTACCATGCAAGTACCCATGCAGTCCTTATTGCGACATTTTGGTCCAATTTTCACATTTAAAACAGCAATAACTCAAAGACTATTTGAAAAAACTGTTTAAAAGTCTTATATGCGGTTTTTGTACGTCTTCCGATTATTCATGTCATTTTTATTGTAATTGAATACAAAATTTCTCATTTTTTTGCTGTAATATGAATTTAATAGAAGATAATCATTGATCACATTTTTTTGCTTGCGAACTTTTTTTGGTAGTAATGTACCTATAATTCCCAGTCAAATAAACCACAAATCAAGTAGTTCCCACATGGCTGCCACGACGCGAAATAATTTTGGCCAACAAAACCCACGGCCTATTTGTTCGCGTCGGCTTGCAAATTGCTCAGAATAATCTCCCTATTAAAATTGTAATATTGTGGGACAATATTGCAATGTTGCTCGCAAGAGAACATCCGGTTTGACTTAGATACAGTAGACACAGTAGCACAGAAGTCTCTTCGTGATCGTTGCAGCCCAATAACTGCACCACGATATAATTTAACAAGTTAATTAACATGTAAACAAATAACTTTGAAATAATTGAGGAGCGGCCAGCGGGACTCTTAATAAAGTCGCTGTAGTATACTGTCTCAATAATGTACAACAGGTGCCAATATAAACTGTAACAATGGAGGAATTTCTTAAAAAATATTGTATGAAAATTGCAACAGTACAAAATATGAAAATTCGAAAATACAGAAAATGCGGAAACATGGAAATGCAAAAGTTGAAAATGCGGAAACATGGAAATGCAAAAGTTGAAAATACGAAAATATGAAAATGCGGAAACATGGAATGCAAAAGTTGAAAATGCGAAAACATGGAAATGCAAAAGTTGAAAATGCGGAAACATGAAAATATGAAAATGCGAAAACAGGGAAATGCAAAAGTTGAAAATGCAGAAACATGGAAATGCAAAATGTATTTTATGCATGATGTCGCGTCTGGGCCACCGTAATTTTGGTATTATACAGTATATTATATTCGGTGAAAGATGGATGTTCCATTCAACTCGGCTGCATGTCGCCTCGTTGAACATGGAACATTCCATCTTTCACCCCATGAAAATATTCTTACCATTGCACTCATAAACATTCATTATTTGTATACTGCAAACCTCCGCAAATACAATGACGTCGTAATGCATTCCGCTTTGACTTTGCCAAATTCCATCTCGGGGGTAAAAACGAAGACAAAAATCCACATAGCCTGCGCTTAATCTGCATGACATCGTCAAACGTTGAGACTGCGCGCATGCTAAAATCCACTATGTCGAACCACTATGACACTCAATGCTAAACTGATGCTATTTTATGTCGTTTTAATTAAAAGCCAGAAGCTCGAAGTTACGCAGTTCTATATCACCTTAAAAAATTCATTAACAATTCACGAAGAAAATACAAAAGAAATGAATGTTTAATAAGGGTTTGTAAATCGGATAAAAGATTTGTCCTGATTTACATATTAACTTCAGCTTTGATTTTCTCGGCTTAGACAATGTTTATTTTTAAAAAAATTACTTCGCCAGTGAACTCATATGATGGGTCATTTTTTAAGTACGATAAAACATTCGTATCCGATCTGTATCTGATATACAAACTCTCGCCTTCGGGTCGAGTTTGTATATTAGATACAGATCGGCTGCTCATGTTTTATCGAGTACATATCAGTCATGTATTACATTCATTTTCATTACCTTATAATATTTTACAGTATATTCAACGATATATTTAATTAACTATTCTACGTCAGTATAATCAATAAAGTCACCCTGCATTTCACTCAATTTAGTCCAAGCAAAGTGATAAAGTATAGCCTTCTCCTCCTCAGGCACCTCACCCGGAGAATCGGGTGATAGAAACAATTTCGCGGGCTAAAACCCATGCATATAGAGATGCCTGCAGGAGGAGGCCGAAGTGATAAAGCATGTGACGATTTAAATAAGTGCGTATAAATTATTAAATTATTTGACATTTGAAATATTAGACAAATGTCTCAATATATACCTCTCATGATATACATTAACTTAATCGTCCACATTTTCGTAATAGATTGCGATTTTTTACGTACATTTTTGTCAACTTATATTTCTTAAACTCGGGGTTTGTTTTTGGAAATTAGAGCTAACTATCACCATATGTAATATTACTCTAAGTAGTCGCCAAAACTGATACGGCAAATGCATATGATATGCCATTTTGAGAGGCCACGAACCAAATATTTGCGCGACCGTAAAAATAGCATAAGCATCCGCTACGCCACATGCGTTTAGTGTACATTTCATTGAGGGAAATAATAAATTAGGGCTAGGATATATACATATACACTGTAGTGTAGTTCAACGTCAAATTAAACTATAGTCTGCACGTAGACTATATAAACTCACACACAAAATATTGCTCTATTTCTTATGCTTTTAGAATTTTTTTTGGCTTAATTATTTTCCGGAAATTAGGTACATATACAAGCTGTAGAAATCTTAAATATCACAACAAAAACTCTTCATCAAGGAAACTTGATAATTTAATCCATCGTTGCAGTCTCTCAAAAATTCCATCAGATCTTCACTGATTTCTGTGTAAAATAATATAGACAAATAATCTATTTAAAGTTAGCATAAATTGCATATGACGAATGTAGTCTTTCAATCATTCCAACAGGTCTTCACTGACTTATGTGTAAAACAATAGACGAATAATCTTTTTAACTTAGTATATATGGTAATATGAATATGAACTGTAAAGACACAGTTATGTTCAGTATCAACACTGCGTTCTCTTTCCATTTGTAACATGTTCAGGAACGCAAACGGATAACGCAACATAAAACGCTACGCATTAAATAACGCATTCCAGGAACGTTTTTTTGCGCGTTTCCCTAGCAATACTGTACAGAAATAAGTCGCATATTTTTGTCCAAACAACAACCCAAATTTTATCGCAATGCAGCAGGAAAACGCTTGGAAAATGCTTCGAAAATGCTTCGTCAAAAGCCTGGGTACGGGGTTGCTGTTTCATGTGTTCAAACCATGGACTTTAATTGTTGTTGCACTTTGCCGAACTTAACAATCTATATTGACAAAACACCTTTTCAGGTGACTGTGTTTAATACATTGAAATATGTTACCTTTTTATTAGGTGTTCTGGAATTTTGTACTTGAATATGATTGAAGATCATTAAAGCAATGTCTTTTCGATTGTGTTCCATTGCAATTGAAAAACACGTGCTACCATCCTATAGTTGGGAAGAATATATATTTTATAGTTCATATAAAAAGATATTCAAGACACGATTGTGTCAATTTTTGGGCTTCTGTCTACGATGCCAGAACCTGAAAAAGTAGAACAATCTTCGAAGTTTCGAGAGTAGACAACTTCCATTAACTTTACTAATTTCCAAACGAAGGGCCTTCGCTCGAAATGTCAAAGTTTGTTCTATTTTTCAGGTAGTTGCATTGCATCATGGAAGGACACACATTGTATATTCTTCGCTCACTGGCATCCAATATTGAATGTATCACATTGTCTAATCTTGTTTGACCTTCTCATTCTCCCCCCCCCCCCTCTTTAAGCGACGCATTGTCTGTTCTGAGCCTATATTTGTGGCCCCACCTAAACATTTGTAAGCCTAACAGGGCCTTGTTTAACTATATAACTTTTTAACTAATTAACTTTAGTATCATTTCAGTATTGAAAAATGGCCTTTCAGCATTCTGATTGGCTCCCTCAACAGTAACTCTGAGGCAATAGTTACTGCTCAGACTGCTCCGAGCAGTAGCTATTGCTTTTCAACAAAAAGGCTAAAAATCAGGCGAAAGTAAATTATTTATGCAAATTATATTCATAAAATAAACACGTGTATTAGTTGTATTTATAAATAAAACTTTTTCAATACTGCAATTATACTAAAACAATTAGTTGCCTCAGGCACGGTGAGATTACAAGCCTATATTAACTCAGTATAGTATAGTATAGTCCTTTTCTGTAGATGCCCCCCCCCCGCCCCCTACGTACTATACTAACGGATTCTTAAAAAAGGACCTGGTAAGGCGATCCTCTATTTGCATTGGAGATCGCCACCTTTTTTACCGCATCCGTGAGTTTGGTTGATCACACCTACCGGATGAACAAGTTGTATATTGGTGTAGAAGGAGAATAACTTACATGATCAGCAATACTTGCATCACAGCCATCAACTCCCAATAATCTCTTCACAACGTTGGCATAACCGTGTTCACATGCGCACATCAGTGCTGTAGAACCATCCTTTTTTTTCGATAAAAAATATGAAAACTAACTATAAATACATTAATACTGTAGTATTTATTCCAGTTGATACAGTCTTCAACAGTTCTGCAGATTTTTGTGTCAAATAAACATATTATCGCAAGGAACGGGTGTCATACAATTAGGTTTTGCACGGATATTGGTCATGTCAAATAAAAGCTTTGCCGTTAGTACCGGATTCACCATGCGGTACAATTGCTGCAAATACCCCTACCTTTTTAAAGGTCGCAACTATAATTTGTTTCTGCTCTGTGCCAGGCCTGAGTTCGACCGCTCAGCGCTAGACCGTGTACTGAAGGTACGTGGGCCCAACATAGCAAGATTGGATAGTACAAAAGCATGGGACCCTAACAAAACGCGGAATGCCAATTTTAATTAAGAAGCAGCTGCTCAACCACGGCGGCATACCTACCACATCTGTCGTGTTGATATTTTCTATTGCACCACACTGAAGAAGAAGGTCAACTGTGTCCACGTTTCCTGTGCCAGCGGCTAACATTAGAGCAGTTTGACCTGTCTAAAATTCGGAGCAAATAATGAATAATTATTTGAATAATAATGAATAATAATAGTTTCGTATATATATTTCATTTAAATAAATATATCCCATTTATCATGCCATATATGCATGAGGTTATTTTCCAGGTGACCCACCAGATGCTTCGGAGGAGACTACATTTATAGCTTATTCGCTCTCTTTTTAAACTTTTTCCCCCATTTCCCCCTTGTACATTGGAAATTTGATTTCAAATGATTATACATGGGTCATTGCTAAAGGGGATGGACGATAAAAATGTTTTCAAAATGGCGGCTATGATCGTTAAAACATGAAAGAATCAATAACCAGGCACTTATAACACATAAACCTATGGCGTCAGATTTCCGCCAATATTCATGTTGATATTAATTCAACATTTTTCCGTATTGAAGTGAATTTCGACATTGAACATATCAAATTCAGCATGCTACTTGAATTCAACATTGCTTCAATTTCAACATGTTTCCCTCATTGATGTTAATTTGAATATTGAACATGTCAAATTTAAGTGAAATACAACATTGAAGTATAGATATTGAAGTAAATTTCAATGTTGAAGTTTCAAAACATGTTGAAAACGCATCACTACATGAATTTGAGAAGTGAATATTGGCGGTTATATAGCACCGCGTTAAATCAATCCGCCAATATTAATTAACGCTTCGTTAAACTTCCCCCCTGGCATATTCCTATATTGCGGCTACGAACGAGCGGAATCAGTGATGAAAATCATGAAATAGTTGGTGCACTGAACATTATTGAGGATATAATATCGCGATTAGACAGCTAGCCTTGGTGACCCAGATTGCGTACAGGGATTGGCAATACGATTTGACGTTTTAAAGAGATATCTTGTAAATATTAGAATCGGCGACATCATGCACTTTGGATTTGCTGGATATAGGGTTTGCAAAAATCTAAACCAATTTGAGCAGCGGCAGCGCTATTCCGCCATGAATAACTCTGCATTTCCAGCACAAGTTTATGCAGTGGAAAACCTTCGTAGGTCCTTTGTATGATATAGACGAGGGGCAATTGAATTTTTTATAGCGAAGTAAGCAGTGTGATGGGTGTACGCAAATTAAATAAGCGGCGATGAGGTCATTTGGCACGAGTGTGTGAGGTAAGAATGTTATGCACATCCTACACGGCCGACAAAGTGATTATATATGCAACACGTCCTGTATATATAGCATCTTATCATCAGGATTTAATATGATTTACTGCACATTAAGTTTTATACAGAACTACAGCATAGAATGAGAACGGGAATACCTAAGTATTTACATCTTTCATCTGCACTTCATTTTTTACCGTTTGAAGAAAAAGGTTAGCTTAGTAATGCAATATGCTGAGCAGACATAAAAAACCCATGTCAGTGGCAGCAGGGCGGTTGGTGGCAGTCAGTCCACTCCAGGAACTTGGCATTTTGGATTAATTCATGAAAACTTGAATCTTATTGAAAACTGAAATTTGCAGTCCTGTTTTCATTTAATTTAAGGTCGGCAAATGACCTGATCAGTCTTCGCCAATTCAGAGGCCCGTCAGTGTCTAGATTTTTTCACTAACACCAATCCCCACACAAGGAAGTTGTGGTTTCAACAAGAATTGATCTACATGTATGCATTACATTTACATCAGTTTCCCTATAGGTTTGTCGACTTCGGCTTAACATATATTTATTATATAAAGTATAGTGCTTTATAGAGATTTCGAGCACTGCTAAAAGTGATAATCTCACATGTGAGATTATTTATGATAATCTTACATGTGAAAATTATCGCTTTTCAATTATCGCTTTTCTGTAAAAATTATCGCTTTTCAAAGACTGTCCTTCATATAATAAACAGAAAAATACATGGGTGCTTGGAAATACCAGATTTATTTCTCGTGTTATGATATCTCACTCGTTCGCTGCGCTCACTCGTGAGATATCATGTTCAACACTCGAAATAAATCTGGTATTTCCGCGCACCGATGTATTATTCTCTATATACAGTGCTGCATAACCACTCTGTCGGCCGTGTAGGATGTGCATAACTTTCTTACCTGACACACTTGTGCCAAATGACCTCATTCGCCGCTCCAATGTTATTTTGCGTACACTCATCATACTGCTTACTTCGCTATAAAAATTTCAATTTCCCCTCGTCTATATCATACGAAGGACCTACGAAGTTTTTCCACGGCATAAACTCAGTGCCTTTTTAACTATATATCTGGGGGGGAGTAAAGCCATTTCTGCCCCCGAAGTGCGAAGCAGAATTGCTCATGATTGCTGTCAGAATTGCAGTTGATTTACTTGATAATGAGATTATTCCCTTCCATAGCCTCCTCCACAGCCTCCTCCACAGCCATCTTGTGTGTAATTCATATTGTTCTTCACCGAGTATTTCATAATAGCGATAGATTTCATGCAAACAATCCGATAAAATGCTAGCCTTTCCAAGCCTTGCGACTATTTCCTAGCACTCTCCTCTGCAGAGGCGTTGTGTTTTGTTTTGGGAGTTTTATTGCAAAATTTTTTTCTTAAAAATATCAAGTTATATAAAGAGCCCCCCTCCCCTCCCCCAGTCGCCACAAAAACCATTCTCTCAGAAAGGCTAAATCCGTAGAGAAATTGGGGAGGGGGGGGGGGTACACGTTACATGCTCGAAGCTGAAACTGATTAAGTACGTCTCGACTGAGGAAAAAGACGATATACTGGAGGAACTTGATTTGTGAAATCTCGTTAAAGCAGTTGTAGATATGGTTCCAAGAAGAATAGATTTAGTTTAGATTTTTAACTGTTAAATACATGTATGCATCATCGTAGCATGAATATTTCTTCTCAGACTTATTTCTGTATCGTATGAAAAAGCAACACAATTTTTAGAATGCGGGAATGGTGTCTCATAGAACCCAAAATAATTTAAATGCAACATTTCTGATCAAAATCACATTGGGATCCCCCCCCCGGCATCACAGAGAGGAAATAAGGTGACACTGACCCCTACTCCTATTTTTCAAGATGACTTTTCCAATTTATTTTAATTCCGAGTAGAAATGTCTGGAAAAATTCATGTCTTCGATGTACTTTATAATGTTCGGAATTCTGCTAGATTTCACCCCCAAAATGCATGAAATCGCAATTCAGGGACCCTAGATTTCATAATTTTCCGGACAGTCTCACGCCGAATGCGTGAGGTTCGCGATCGCCCCCACAAAATTAAGGTTTGGTATTTACAAGATATCTACAAGGTATTTACAAGATATCTCTTTAAAACGTCAAATCGTATTGCCAATCCCTGTACGCAATCTGGGTCACCAAGGCTAGCTGTCTAATCGCGATATTATATCCTCAATAGTGTTCAGTGCACCAACTATTTCATGATTTTCATCACTAGTGATTCCGCTCGTTCGTAGCCGCAATATAGGAATATGCCAGGGGGGAAGTTTAACGAAGCGTTAATTAATATTGGCGGATATTTAACGCGGTGCTATATATAACCGCCAATATTCACTTCTCAAATTCATGTAGTGATGCGTTTTCAACATGTTTTGAAACTTCAACATTGAAAATTACTTCAATATCTATACTTCAATGTTGTATTTCACTTGAATTTGACATGTTCAATATTCAAATTAACGTCAATGAGGGAAACATGTTGAAATTGAAGCAATGTTGAATTAAAGTAGCATGCGGAATTTGATATGTTCATTGCCGGAATTCACTTCAATACGGAAACATGTTGAATTAATATCAACATGAATATTGGCGGAAATCTGACGCCATATAAACCTTACCCTAAACCATACCCTAAACCTTACCCTAATTCTAACCCTAACATTATCCTTAATGAGCGAACTCCACTCTGAGTTTACTTTTTGAACTACCTTATTCGTTTTAATTTCGCGCGACTTTAATTTCGCGATTGTAAAAAATTGCGCGAAACTAAATACCCTAGTCCATGGCCGGATTTTGAGGGGAAGTGTGAGGAGGTGCGCACCTCCCCTGAGATCTTTTCGCACCTCCCCTGAGAATTTTTCCACCTCCCCTGAGATCTTTTCGCACCTCCCCTGAGAATTTTTGCACCTCTTCTAAAAAGTCACGTACCTCCCCTTGGGAAAGTTTCAATGATGGATCAAAGAGAAAATTTGACATTTTTGGTTTTATTATTATATTTCTATATTTTAACAGGTTAACTTGTTAGGGTTTACACTTCGTAAGAACGTTTTTTCTGTAAAATTGAAACAGTGATAGCCATTCATCTCTGTGTCAAGTACCCTTTTAATTCCATGTTTTGAAAGAAACTTTGCAGAAATGGTAATGAAGGGCAAAATTGGAAGTAAAACTGATACCCATGTACACTACATGCATATGTCACGTCGTTGACGTCTTTGGCCCTAAATTTCCATGGGGGTCGTGAGCTAGACAGCTGCACCTCCCCTAAATTTTTTCCACCTCCCCCACTATTTGCACCAAAATCCGGTCTTGCCTCAGTCAAAAATTTGAGTGATAAAATTCTTGGTAACTGATATGATCAACAACATGTTACATCGACATGAATAACAAATTATTTAACCCTAGCTAACCCTATAATTTATATAATAGTCGTATAGTATTAAGCTACAGTTTGCATTTTATGATTATATTATTATCACGAAATTTAATGCCATTTTTCTATTTTCGCCTATCAAAATCGCGAAGATAAAGTTTCACCATGCAAGAAATATTGCCTCGAAAAAGTCGCGAAATTAAGTACGAATGAAGACGTAAAGATCTTGAAAACCTGTCTCCAGTCTACCATTTTTGACATTATCATGATACATCTAACACCGTCTTTACAGTTAGTCTCAAATAAGAGAAACTTAAAAATAATAAAGGAGCTGGGGCCAGTTGTATAAAAAAGTGATTAAAGTTAACTTTAATTAGTGGAAACGTCATCCAATAAGAAGCGCGTATTTGAGAATTATAATCACTATTTAACTACAACATAGTGATTAAGAAAGTGATTAAAGTTTTATACAACCGGCCCCTGGTCTGTAGCAGAACTTAATTGTGACTTACACTTTGAGCGATGCAGTTCAGATTTCCTTTTTCAAATAAACGTTTTAGGACTACTTTGTATTTTGGATTGATAACTTCTTTCAGGGAACCTAACATGACTGCGGAGTAGCCAGCCTGTAGGAAAAATAAGAATTTTCAGAAAAAATATTGAAACAACTGGTGTTATGAAATAATTATATGATCATATATTATTATTGAATCTATATTATACTGATCGCAATTAATATTGCATGCATGGGACTTAGGCGAACTAAAAATAATATTCACTTATACCTTGTTAGTGATGATCACATTACAATGATTTGTCTTCAGTAGTTCGCTCACACAATCAAATTTCCCGTATGTTACAACATAATGCAAAGCCGTATTTCCCTAAACACAATTGATATAAATATTAGCGCAATCCAGTGGCGCAGCCAGAACAATAATTGGCGGGGGGGGGGGGCATATTCACATATTCGTGTTCAGATACCATAAAAACAATTGATTTCAAAAGAAATTAATAAAGCAGAACACGAATATATGAATATGCCCCCCCCCCCAATTATCGTTCTGGCTACGCCACTGGCGCAATCCTAATTTCAAAATATGTCATATATTTCATGCATGATACGTGTGAATTCATTTCAAAAGTTAAACTCGCATGGATACCTAATAATTGCAGCTAATAATTGTCTATATTTTTCTATTTACCAATTTTTACCACTGTTTGTTCGTTTGGAGATACAAACACGTGGAATTCTACTACTACCATCATTCATGAAACAACACCGGTGGAGTGATTGCTTCGGCCTGTAAACCGTATAATGTGGACCAACATAAAAAGGCATGTAGTAAAACACTGACTACCGGAACACCGGAACACCACCGGAACACCACCTAACCCTAACCCTAACCCCAACCCTAGCCCCCAACCCCAACCTTAACCCTAACCCCAAACCCTCACCCTAACCCTAACCCCAAACAAAATGGTGGTGTTCCGGTGTTCCGGTAGTCAGTGTTTTACTACATGCCACATAAAAAAGGGAGTTCCCACCAGATTCGCTTTTTATGCGACATCAACATATGTCGTTGCTATCAAAGCTAAAGTGTATGTAAATGAACATGATTTTTTATCACATATAAAATCATCGACTCGGCAGCGACTTCTTTTGTATTTTCCTCACGAATTATTAATGAATTTTTTAATGAAATTTTAAGTGTATTAATTAAGATATTCAGGTCTATTAAAAAAAAAGGCATTTCTGATTTTATTACTGACACCTACATGTTCATCCTGTGAATTTATAATACCATCCAAAAGATAAGGTAAATGCTGTTCAAGGACACGGATGAGGTCAGCTAATGACTCTTTCTCAAGTCTTTCATCTGTTACACAAGTAAACCAGTAATCTTCAATGTTCTTCATACAAAGTAACTAGAATTATAGAGGTTGAAATAATTAAAATTAGTTCATAATTGAGTTGGTTTTGTTTGATGTAACGCGGTGAATAAATCTAGCACTGTAATCCTTAACTGTGCAGTAATTAAGGCGCACTTAGATAGATAGATAGATAGATAGATAGATAGATTGTTTGTTTAATAAGATTAACACATAGCAGCCAAGAGGCTGAATTGCGTGCTAAATTTTACAAGAGAAATGATTAAATTAGTTATTCAATATTTACAGAAGTTTAAAATTACATTACAATTTATAATTCTATATTACAGAAGTTTAAAGTGACATTACAAATTAGCTATGAAACTAGTAAATTTCTAAAAAAAAGTTAGCCAGTCTAAAACTGAATATCAGAATCGATTGTCAGTTAATATTATTGATATGCCTTGCAGAAGAAGGGAAAAAACTGTTTCTAAATCTGTTCGTTTTGGTCTGAGGAACAACAAAAGACCTTGAGTGTCTAAGGTCGTAATTTGGAAAGTATCTAGATGGTACATGATTATGCATATTAGCTACTGGTGTTGTGGTGATTTCATTAAACAGTTTCTCGCATGCATCCACACGCCTGTCACTTAATGGTTTGATGCCCGATTTTTGTAAACAATCCGCATAACCTGTCAGTGGATAGATGATTGATAAAACACGCTTTTGAACCCGTTCCAGGGCATTAGATAAGTAGGAAGGAAGGGCGAAGTGGAAAACTTGACAGCTGAATTCCATGACTGGTCTGACGCAGGTAGTGTAAAAATGTATTATGTCAGCTTCAGGTACATGAGCACGTTTCAACTGAATAATAAAATAAATCCGTTTGTTCGCCTTCTTAACTATGTTAGTTATGTGTTGGTTCCATTTTAGATCTTTAGAAATTGTCAAACCTAGGATTCTTGCGTGGTTCACTGTCTCGATTTGGCCCGAGATGATCTTAAGGCGCGGAAATTCTTTCTCAGGTTTTGTAAAACTGATAACAAGTTCCTTGCACTTGGAGGCATTTAATTGCATCTTGTTTTCTACAGACCAATTTTGAACACAATCGACTGTATCTTGAATTTTACTGGGTGTGTTGATGTAAATGATTTCAGATACCGTAGCATCATCGATGTATTTCCATCGCTCATGATGTGGGGGGGCGTAGGTCATTTATCATTAGGATGAATAACCAAGGTCCCAATTTGGTTCCTTGAGGGACACCGGAAGGAATGTCAATCCATTCAGACATACAGTCTCTTGCAAGTTTCACCCGTTGTTGCCTGTTCATCAGAAAGTCAATTACCCACCGCTTAATGAAATTTGGCATTGGCAATTGGATGATTTTCGTGGCTAAGTATATGGCATCGCAGGGACAGATATGGCATCGCAGGGACAATATAATAAATATATAATTGCTAAAAAAAGGCAACTACAAACTTGAAGGTTCTAAATCTCGTTCTCAACTAGAAAACGCGTCGCGTCTCTAGACGAGAAAGGAACAGCCGTGCTAGTAGCCCGTCAAACTCTACCATCAGTGGAGCCGTGGTCGGGGGGGGGGCAGGGGCGGCATGGCCGCCCCTATTGTGGAGACCCGTCGGAAAATTGTGAATGTTGTCGGAAATGTTTTGAAAATTGACAACGTTGTCGGAAATTGTCAAAGTTTCCGACGTTGGTATATTCGGAAAATTTTGGATAAATGGAGAAAATTGGTAATGTCCGGAAAAATTTTAAGATGTAACGAAAAATTTTGGTATGTCCGGAAAAAATTTTTGACCCCTAAAATGGTACACTGACCGAAATCGGAGGTCGCCCAAAAAAATTTCAGTTAAAAAAAAATTTTGCGACGTTTCTGTCGGAAACAATTTTCCGGTTTGTCGGAAAAGTATTGCCCTTGCCCCCCCCCCCCAAAAAAAAAACACACAAAAAAACATGGGTCCCACGGCGCCACTGTCTACCATGCATCCACGGAGTACGTCCAGGGGCGTAGCCAAGGGGGGGCAAGGGGGGGCGGTCGCCCCCCCCAATCGCAAAAAAACTATTCTCTGAAAAAGGCTAAATCCGTAGAGAAATGGGGGGGGGGGCGGCGGTGTACACGTTACATCCTCGAAGCTGAAACGGATTAAGTACGTCTCGACTGAGGAAAACGACGAAATACTGGAAGAATTTGATTTCTAAAATCTCGTTAAAACAGTTGTAGATATGGTTCCAAGAGGAATAGATTTAGTTTAGATTTACATGTATATGCATTATGATAACATGAATATTCTTCTCAGACTTATTCTGTATCATATATAAAAGCGAGTAGAAACTTAGAAATGTCTGGGAAAATTTATGTCTTCGACGTACTTTATAATCTTCGGGATTCTGCAAGATTTCACCCCCAAAATGCTTGAAATCACATTTCAGGAACTCTAAATTTTAAAATTTTCCCTGGGGTGCATGCCCCCCAAACCCCCCTAGAGCGTACTTTATAATCTTCGGAATTCTGCAAGATTTCACCCCCAAAATGCTTGAAATCACATTTCAGGGACTCTAAATTTCAAAATTTTCACGGGGGTGCACGCTCCCGGACCTCCATAGATGGTCTTGCGCCTTCGGCGTTCGCTTCGCCCCCCCCAAAAATGAAGGTCTGGCTACGCCACTGGTCTTTACAGCCAGATTTCGAGCGCGAAAATAAACATGTCATTCTAAAAACTAGGAATAAATACAGCCAGAAGGTTCAAGAAATTGTATTGTACAAGAACATGAACTAAAGGTGATTGTTGACAAATTTATCGTCTGAAACATTTTGTTTATCAACTAAGCAACGACAATTTCCGAATTTTCGTTTGAGATACATTTCTTTAAAAAAAACTATGTCGCCAAATATAAAAAAATTTCGTGTTCACAATAATTAAACTATAGGATTTATTCTACAATTTGAGTGGGTTAAGAAGCTTAACTTTTCGAGAGTTTTCTTAACTTTTTAGTTTGAATTTTTGTTTTGAATAATTTTGCAAAATTTTTCGAAGTCGTGTCCGTTAAAATCAACAATTTTTTACATGAATTATATTTCATTCCATACTTTAAATGCCAGGACGCTTTCAATTAATGTCTAGTCTACCCATTTGCTATATTTTCTCGTTGTTTTACTAATTTTTGACCAATTAATAAGCATGTTTTTGTTTTAGAAATTGATATTCAAATTACCCGCCATATTTTCATAATTTGGTGCATGCGCAGACGTTTTTCCGCGGTGTTTGTTTTATTAGGTCTAAAGTCACTCGCGCTACGCGCTCGTGTCTTTAAACCTAATAAAACACTCCTGCTCGTTTATTAAACAATACATAAAACACCCAGCATATTCTAGCCCTTGAAAATCAAGCGAAATTGTATTGTTGACAATTCGCTCAAAATTATTAATTAAACTAATTATAAAAAATGCAGTAGGTTTAATCCTAATTGATAACTAATTGGTATCGTTGGTTTTCTCTTTTTCAGCCGTATACCAGTGGATTCGTCTCACTTCTCGGTTCATTTTGATAATATTTTGAGCCCAAAAGCCCCAAAATATTTTATTTTGAACGTTTCTAGCGTACGGACCAACTGGCGGCGGACAGAAGAATGTAGCGTATACTAAATATAAATTTACTTGTAAAACGCCGGAAGTTATATTTGTAGGGCACCAAATTGCATTTTTGTACTGTATTAAGCCTTTCGCGCTCGTATTCGACTTTTCCGCTTAGCTCGGGGATAACCTTAAATCTTAATTGAAATACAGTAGCTGTGTACTGTATGTATCGTGCGTATTTGTATAGCCCCAGCGAGTTAACGCTCTATAGAGCGTCTTGTTTGTTGATATATTCACCTGTAGGTGCATATAACAGCTTATACGTCACATTTGACCAATCAACTTGTAGGATTTGTTATGAATACACTTGTGCAAAACACTAATCATATATAGCCTGCAGACTGCAGTATTAATAGTATTAATTTGTTTTTAATTACTACAAGTTTCTTTCAAAACATTGTATTAGAAGGGTACTTGACACAGAGATGAATGGCTATCACTGTTTCAATTTTAGTTTTTACAGAAACGTTTCTTATGATGTAGACCCTAAGCAACCAAAAAATGTCAAATTTTCACTTTGATCTATCAGTATCATTGAAACTTTCCCAAGGGGAGGTGCATGACTTTTCCGGGGAGGTGCAAAAATTATCAGGGGAGGTGCAAAACGATCTCAAGGGAGGTGCGCACGTACCTCCACACACCTCTCCTTAAAATCCGGCCATGATACAGGGTGCAGGTGTATAAAAAGTTAATCCAACGTTGACATGTCGTGATATCGTACGTTAGGCAATCGAGTGCCAATATATACCAAATATCAAAGAAAACAAAAAATACAAGCACACCTGGCAAGCAACGCAAGGCGGAAAAGCAATGATGGCTATATAATATACCGTAAACCTCCGAATATACGCCCTGGGCTTATATTCGTTTGTGGGCTTATAGATGGCAGGGGGAGGGGGGAGGGGGGCTTATATACGGACGACATTTGGCGTTAGTAGTATTCATTGTACTGCTAAAATCATAGTATGGTCATTGAAAATAAATATAAACATACAGTACTGATAACACATAATAAAACAAGTGGGTTAATAACATATTATAATATTGTAATGTAATTATCGTCTGAGCTGGTTGTCCAATTATTCGGTCCATGGGCTTATTCACAGGGGGGGGGCTTATATTCGGGTGGGCTTATATTCGGTCACGTCAGGTTTACGAATTACGGTATAATAAGGGACCGGTCATTATTTATGGTGGGGGGTGGCACCGAAGAGAAATGTTTTTCCTGGTAAAAATTTTGCTGACCCAACCATTAAAAAGCAAAAAATTTGATTACCCAACCTCAAATATCAATTAAAAAATAAATAGCCACCCCTGGCCAAAACCTTTACAAAAGAATACCATTCAGTTGTCACACATGTCCTTTACCACTTCAGTGACACAAGTTTGATAACTAAACTTT